ATTTTTGCACACACATCTGGAAAATTGTACTTGAGATAAATAAAGAATAAATTGTATTATTCAATCTTCACTGAAATAGCAAAAACAATGTTTAGTATCATGTCAAGCATAACATTTATTAACTGAAATATAAATTATATTAATAATAGAATAAAACAAAATGGATTCAAACTATAGATGTAAGATTCTGTAGTAATATTACCATGTAATTACTTTAAATAAAAAAAATAAAAATTTAGCAGATGCATATGCATAAAATACTAATGATGCACAAGTCAGCAAATATTCACTGAAATACATTCAGGCTGTTTTGATTTATACAATACGAATACAAGAAACTATTTGTTATGTGCTTGAGAACATTATCAGAGCAATATTTGTTGTACGATAGAATTATGTATCTTATTCCAGAGAAGTATTCATTGACACGTTGTGTAAAAAGATTGCTTGGACTCACATTGACGTTTCCACATGCTGCATAGAATTAAGTCCAAATCTTCTCTTCAAAATAAATCCTCCAAAGCATCTGCTAGAAACCCCAATGCTGAACACTTGTGGAACACTATACTACACTACTTTGATCATTGACTTTATACTATTAATTTATAATTTGCAAATGTCCAAGTGGAGTCTTCGTGACTCAACACACGTTACTTCGCGACGAACACATCAGAGACTTTTGTGACTTAGAATTTGACAATATACAAATATGTTACAAAAGTACTTGCAGCCTTACAAACATTTATACATATTTGATATTTGCATACATGAATATATTATTATATAAAGGATACATTGGAAGCTGTAAATAAAGTATTTGATTATAAAATTGATTGGAATTAAAAGCTGAAAGAGATAAGGTTAAGGCTGAAGAACATTGTCACATATCTGATCTAAAAACATATCATCACACACGAATTTTATATCAAATTGATGTGCATAATTAGTAGAACCATTTAATGTATGAATTAATTGAAATTAATTAGGAATTTAATTTAAAAAAACATTAATTAATTAGCGAGCACGCGTTTGTCACAAAAATCACTGTATAAAGATGGCCGCCAGAAAAGGCGAACTGTCATGAAGAAATGAACGAAGCGAAGTGAAGTGAAAGTGGAAGGCGCGTAATTCAAATTTCAAAACAGACTAGTACAAGCCTGTCAAATTGCGCAAACCATTCGACACAAGAAATACGAAATGCGCAAGTATGGTCTGTGGCTGGCATTAGCACAACTCCAAAATTATCAAATAATTGAGCAAACAAGCTTCAAACCAATTCCGTTTTGGTTCAAGCCTTTTCGAAAAGATAGCACAACCATCGCCGAATTATGACTTGCCGCATTCGCTAACCTCAAAATCGTTAGACGTTTCGTTGTTTACATGTCAAAGATTACGAAAGCGATAATATAAAAAAACAAAATAATGGATACTAAAGACGATATCTATCAAATGGCCTATCGGGGCGAATTTAACGCACTAGTGAACAAATTAGACGAATCTCCTAACGCCCTTAAACAGAAAGACGACGTAAGATTTCAACAATTTCAAAATAATCCTCACCAATATGTAAATCCATTAATCCTTTTCTAGAATGAACGTTATTTATCCCATTGGGCTGCCCTGGGTGGTCATGATTCACTTCTAGCTCATCTGTTAAACGACGGGTGCCCCATGGATTCACCAGACGATATGGGTTCCACGCCTTTGATTCTGGCAGCCTCTGCAGGCCGGGAAGATGTGGTGAAAATTCTTTTGACTCGTGGAGCTGATATTAACCATCAGAACAACCAGGGACATTCTGCTTTGCAATATGCCAGCTCTAAAGGCTGGCCAGAGGTAAAGATATTGACATAAACATAGATCGATTAGAACTGCTTGAATTATTTGTTGTAGATTGTTGATATGTTGTTGCAAAATGGTGCTGATGTTAATATAACTGATAATCAAGGTGCTACGCCTTTGCACAGAGCAGCTTCACAAGGAAAGACTGCTATTGTTAGATTATTGTTGGCGAATACTAGTATCAAACTGGATTTGACAGATATTTCAGGAAATACTCCATTGTAAATATAATCTTTTCTTATAGTAACTACTTAAAAACACTTGTGACTGATTTGGTATTTTTTCCATAGACATTTAGCTTGCGAAGAAGATAGACAAGAAGAAGCGAAACTTCTGGTTCTTAAAGGTGCTAATTTAGAATTAAAAATAAAGAAGGTCAAACACCGTTAGATTTATCATCTCCTGGATTGTCCAGAACTCTTAAACAAGCAACATAAGAATCTAATTTTGTATTTAAATCTATTATACTCGTATTGTAAAATTATTTATATCTAACATAGTTTTGGATTCTTAATCTTTCTTTAATTTATAAGAAATAATTTTGATAATTATTTTTGTACTGAAATAAACTTACATGTGATCTGCATAACACTTACAAGTATTTTTTTACAGTTTTTTATTGTTATTTATAATTATGCATAATTCATAATAATAAACTATAATCATAATAATAATAATAATAAGCTTAAACGTTACCCGACTCCAAAAATTTGTTGTTTAACATATTACAAAAACACAATTTAATATATTTACAAAAATGTGAATCTATGCAACTTTTAATATAATTAAAAAAAAATTAATAAACTAACAATATTTTTTAGGCATATGTTACAGTTTTTATAATTTTTTTTAATGCTAATTTCAAATTTAAAAAAAAAACTGGCATAGGTAGAAAATCTAAGTATAAAAATTTCTTACAATTAATTTTAGGCCCTACATACAAGAGTTCGTGTTTAATGTGAATAGTGGCACTTATTTATAGGTTTATAAAAATGCTTTGCACTTATAATACAATTTTTTTCATTATCTTAATATGGCGCCGCTCTACTACCCAACAAAATATTTATATATTTATAAGTACATCTTATCGTACAAACGAAACTTTCACAAGTTCCATACTACCTGGCATCCAACTAAAACAGAAGACTTCAGTTTCAAATTTTGAATACGTGATCTTGTTTCATAAACAACAATGGGGGCCTAAATGTTTTTATTAAAACCACTACTACTAGATACTATGCGAATTGTAAAAATGTAAAAAAATACTTTAGCCAAATCCTAAAGATCACATTAGAGACAACCGTGTGTCTTTTTAAATTTTAATTTTAATGTAATTTTTTTTTATATAAATAGCTTATCGTATATAAAAGTGTTGACTGAAAATGCTATCTGAAATGGTCCTTTTGGGTGATAATTAAAATTTAATACTTTGATGAGACCAAGGGGGGGGGGGGTAAATAGATACACATGCTTTTGTAAATGGACACACACACACATATATATATATATATATTAAATATACTTCTCGCTTTTATCTGTAATTTATATAAACTTTGTCTTACTGAATCAAATTATAAAGCATTATAATTTATTTTAATAAATAAATAGAATGTATAATTCATCATACGACAGACCAAGACAAGTCATCAAAGACTCAAGAATTTAGTATAAAATACCTTAAATGCATAATTATTTCGTCTTGTAAATTATTTAAGTAAATTAAATCACTTTACAACTAAATTAAGTCTTTAAGAAAAAAGAAAGTTAAGAAAAATGCATCAAATTTAAATTAAGTTGAAAAATCTGTATAAACAAAATTACCTTTTTATTTTATGTCGAATGCTTTGTTCTTTAGTTTTTAACATTTATATTTATTTAAGATTTGTAAAAATCTCAGCCGTAAAGAACTTAATTATTGACAAATTTATATAAAAAACAATAAAATAAACAAGCATATTTTTCACAAAAATTAATTAAATTTAGTTTTATTATCAGGATTCTTTTTTTCCTTAACTAAAAGCCTTTGTTTGAATATATTTAAATATGCATTAATAATTATTTTTATGTTTTGTTGATCTGAGACACTCCTTTTACAGAAACTGTTAAAAACAAATATTTTTTTATACATATATATATATATATATATATATATATATATATATATATATATAATATATATATATAATTTTTTTAAATAAAAACATAGGTTGTTTGTACCTTTAAAAATCTGAATTAAAAAAAATTAGCTCACTAAACCTAATAACTCGCTAAATAATAATAAAATATACTAAATACTATAATAAAATATACTTTAACTAAAATAATTGAATTTATTATAATTATATAAAAATATATGTTCAATTATAATTTTTAGTGAATATTTTTTTTTAATTTTTAGTGAGGTTTATTTAATGATTTTAATTCAATTCAAAGGTAAAAACTCGGCGAACTCCTTCAATTTTTATAAATTTAAAAAATTAGTTGTTTGTTTTAACAGTTCTTGAAGAAGAAAACATCCCATATCTCCAAAATGTGAAAATAATTATAAATGAAAAATTTCATATTCAAATCAAATCAAATATATATTTAATAGAATTGTAAGCCAATTCGTCGAATTAAAAATTAGAAACTAATGTTGCCTTCTTTATTTAAACGTTTCGACCCTTGATCGTGTCATCATTGAATTAATCAAACCAACAATAATTAATATAAGTACTAATTCAAAACTATGTTTTCGTGTGTAGACAATTAAATTTTCCATTGAAAACAACTGTGTTTGCTCCTGGTTAATTTAAAGAATGATGGCATATAATAGGTTGTCAAATATCTCCCTTCCGCCTTTTTGTATTATCAACCAAGAGCAAAAAAGCGGAAGGGAGATATTTGACAACCTAATATCAAGTGACGAAACGTATAAGTAAACAGCAAAAAATTAATTTACCATTTGTAATTCGACGAGTTGGCTGCTAATTTTTGCTATATATATATATATATATATATATATATATATACATATATAAATGTGTGTGTGTGCCTATATATATACAAAAAGTATATCTTATCATCTATCATATCATATAAATTCCTGTATATGTTTCCCTTATCTAAAAATATTATTTTCACAACATCAAACCTCAAATCTTCATTTATAATTTCATAATTTTCATTTCCATTAATACTCATATTAAATCATCATCATCATCATGGTTCTTTGTCTTTCTCGCAAGTGTCCGATTTCAATTGATGCTCTGGTCGTCTGTGTCGTTGGAGTCGTCGAGTGCGGCCCCCGCGACGCTGTCGTCGCCGCTGCCGGCGCCCCCGGTGTTCAGGGAGCCCCGCGACGACTTCGTGCCGCCGCCGAGAGAGCGGGAGGCGCTGCTGGAAGACATTGTGCTGCCGCCGACTCTCCTGGGATAGAGGAAAAGGATATGTTGAAATTGAAATAGAAATAGAAATTGATATATATATATATATATTAGGGTGGTCCTTAAAATGGTCATTTTCGAATTTCCTTGCTCCCAGGGGCTCAAATGGTTCCAAATAGATAAAAAACATTCTCTGAAAGTTTTAGCTCTTAATATTAACTTTTAGATAGAGCGCAATTCAATCAAAGTTTTGTATGGAGATAGCTGAAAAAATTTTCAAAAATTTTAAAAATGTTTTTTAGATGTAATTTAGTGAACAAATGAATGAATAAAACTCATTCATTTGTCGTTAAGTTAAACCTAAAACATTTTTTTTTAATTTTCAAAATTTTTTCCATGCTCTTCCATACAAACTTTGATTGAATTGCGCTCTATCTAAACGTTAATATTAAGAGCTGAAACTTTCAGAGAATTGTTTTTTATCTATTTGGAACCATTTGAGCCCCTGGGAGCAAGGAAATTCAAAAATGACATTTAAGGACCACCCTATATATATATATATATATATATATATATATATATTAGAGTGATCCTTGATATGGACATTTTCAAATTTCCTTGCTCCCAGGGGCTCAAGTGGTTCCAAATTGATAAAAAACAATTCTCTGAAGTTTTTGCTCTTAATATTAACGTTTAGATAGTGCGCAATTCAATATATTTCCATACAAAACTTTAAATTGCGCTCTATTTAAAAGACAATATTAAGAGCTAAAACTTTCAGAGAATTGTTTTTCATCAATTTGGAACCATTTGAGCCCTTGGGAACAAGGGAATTAGAAAATGTCCATATCAAGGACCACCCTATATATATATATATATATATATATATATATATATATATAGGGTGTCCCAGAACTCAACAAGGTAATCTCACGTTTGGAAATTATGAGCTTTTAAGTACAACCTAAAGCTTTGTAGAAATTGTAACTATTTTTCATTTACATTTAAACCAGTCTTTCTTAAAGTGGGCGATTGAAATATCCAGGGGAGCAATAAAGGCATCTAACTATTTTTTTTACATATATATATACTGTTAAAATTTTCTAATTTAGAATGTAAGGTTACATCAATAGTTATAGTCCCCTATAACTATATTATTAAAATTTAAAAAAAGGTTTTTTAGAGATTATATAGGTATAAAAAATTTGGTATGGGGCCGCTACAAAAATTTTGATCTTCAACGGGGGCGTTGGAACATATGTTTGATTTAAACCTTAGATCCCTATTTGTGAATAACATTTCTGAGAACAGTCGAAACAATTTTTTTTTTAATTACAATATCTGTTACAACTGTTTAATGATATAACATCTAGTAACTTAAATATAAATAAAATAAAGTACAAAATAAAGAATTGTATTTTCATTAAAATGTTATCCGTATTATGATGATTTAATATAAAATAAAAGCAAATAATGATAATAATGAAATTAATAAATAAAATTACACAGTCAAAAATAGTGACACAATTAGCCCAAATTTTCAAGAATTAAGACCTTTGTTGAACTGCGAATTTGCAATTTTCAAATTTGATGTACTTTGAGAGGCCCTTTTTTTTAAAAAAAAATGTACTACAGTGTATTGGCAAGTTTCATCGAGTTGTTGAAAGTTGGCGAATTTAATCAGGTAAATAAAAAAAAATCGAGTAAAAAAATAAAGACCTAAAAATAACACGAAAACAGCAGTACAAATGTTTCTTAATCCCATTACCAAAAATCATGACACTTTTAGGTTTTTATTTTTTTACTCAAACTTTTTTATTATAAAACTATCAAGTATTTTACAATTTTACAATCCTGATTAAATGCCTAAACTTTTGATGAAACTTGCCAACACACTCCAGTACATTTTTTTTTAAAGTAGGGCTTCCCAAAGTCGGCCGATTTTAAAAATTTTGAATTCATAGTTCAACAAAAAGTCTTGATTCTTGAAAACTTGGGGCAATTGTGTTATTATTTTTGACTTTGGTCCTAGAAATGTTATTTATGATTACGAATCCAAAGTTTAAATGAACAAAATAAATTAAAATTAACCACATAACCGAAAAATGGTCATAATTTCACCAGAGGTCTAGATTGCACTTGAAAGCTCATAATTTCCAAACTACATGGCATTTTTTTCAAATTTTTTCGGTCAGTTACGGTCAAACGTTTTGGTTTGACGTTGAGCTCCTGGACACCCTGTATAATGAATGATTGATTGTTATTTTATTATAAATTTGTTTGGTTTATTTCAAAAACATGCAGCACTAATTTTTGATTTAGTTATGTCTTCGATTCTTTTCAGGATCTTCAAATGAACTTTTATTAACAGATTTGATTCAAATGAATTCAATGCAACACCCTTCTTTTCACCAACAATAATTTTAAATTCAAAAAGATATTTCTAAAATATTACAATAAACAATTGAAGATCGTCTCAAAGGTAACAAATAAACAATTTGAATTTTGTTTCGAAAAATTAAGGTAAAAACAAAAGAGAAATTACTTAAAATATAAAGAACAAAATATACTAGTTGTAAGTGCAATTTTTCCTTAAGTTGCTTTATTAGTTTCGATCGGTTGGTAGTTTATTTAGTCAATTTATTAAATTTTCCAAAAATATTATAGTGCTATGAAAGATGTTTTTTTTATAAAAATTCATTACAGTTTAAATAATGGGCTTTGCCTTTGTAACATATACCACGTTCTACTTTGAGAAGTCGACTATTTACACAGTAACTTGCCTCAAGGCATTAAATTAAATTTGTAGTATGTTATTAACAAAATCAACTTGTCTAAAGGATTACAATAAACAATTGAATATCGTTTCAAATATAATAAATTCTATTGTGATATTTAAAATATTTAAATGCATTTATATACTTTAAAAAATAAGGTATTTCAGTAAATCAGAACAGCAGCAGTTTCACAATTCAAAATAGAAAAGTTTGAAATAAAAAAATACATAAAACTCAATTAAAAACTGAACAAGTTATTTGTGATTATAAATTTCCATAATTGAAACATCTTATACAAATTTTAATGATTAATTTTGTTAATAACTCAAAACCAAACTTATGTTATTTGGTAAATGACTCTTCAAATTAAATTAATTACAGTTAAATTTATCAGTTCAAGTTAAATAAAAATAAATTTACAAATTAGTACATTATTGTTTGATGATTTTCAATAACAAAAGCTATTCTAACATCTTATAAATAAATCATGTTTAATAGTATAATTTAATGTATAAAAACAAAGTAATAACAACAATCTCACAAATCCTTAGTTCAACAAACAAACTATGCAAAAAAAACGATTAAATTAAAAATTAACAAAACTATCTATTATTAAAGTGTCCTTGCAAAATTATCAGATGAAACACGAAAAAACAATTAACCCAAAGCAAAAAATCCATCGAGTGATCCAATAAAACTTGTGATCCAAATAATCATCTGATCATGCAATGTAAAAAAAAAATTAGTAAAAAACTATTCCACCACACTAGATCTAACTCATGAATGAATCGAATGATAACACCAAACTTTATTTAAAATTACCGATATTTCTTCAACCCAGCCAGACCTCAACTTTGCCGACTGTTATAAAAAAAATATTTGTAATAAATATAAAAATATTTATACATCTAAAATTATACAAACGATACATGGCATTTTTTATTCCACGACAATATAAGGACTCATGGACATAAATATATAAATACAAAATAGAGGACGAATGGGTCACATTAAAAAATATATATAATATATACATATAAAAATAAAATACTTTACAAAAATATATAGATCTCGCACACATATATATACACGGTCATCTTTCATTCCCATTCTTTCTGGTTTTTTTCTTCTTCCAAAATTTTCTTCTCACAAAACCTTTAAAAAATTAAATTCAGCAATCGAGATAAACAATCTATTTAATCTTACAGTCTATCAACATGTATTCTTGGGCCCGGAAGCAAAATTTAGTTTTAGAAAGTATGTATAATAAATAATCCACTTACCTTAATTTATTTTTAAGATTATTAATTTCCCTCGTGAGTGATTCTTGTGATTCTAACATATCCTCACACTCTCTTTGTGCTTTACGTTTCTGTGTCTTCTCTCTCGTGATTTCCTCCTCTGCCTCATCGAGTTGACGTTTCAGGAGTTTTACTCGTGTATTCACCTGAGGAGAAAGGAATCATGATTTATAATAATGAACATACAGATAAAGACAGGATTTGTTTATGTTTATAGTACCTTTTCAACTTGTTCTTTATATTGATCAGCATTCCTCCTTTCGTCTTCTAATTGCAAAGCGAGTTCTTTCAATTTTTTGTCTAATTTTCGACCATTCTTTTGGTGCATCAGCCGCTCGCGCGATTCGTTTTCGAGTTGCTCTTCAAGAGTACCTATACAAATATAATAATTAAATAATATATAAATAATAAAAACAGATTCCAGTATATAATCAAATCAATGTTTACCAATTTTGCTCTCAAGCCCTGCTATCGTTGCTTTCGTTTTTGTTCTTTGAGATGTTTCTAGTTCTGATAATTTGGTCTGAAAAATATCATAACATGATTACATAAATTCTAATAATATCTAGTGGTGCATGGCATCGTATCTTAAGACAAATTACTGGAACTTCGCGTATCAAAAATTTAAATTTTTGAAAAAGATTCAATTTTCTTTTAAAACTCTATAAAAAAGCGATTTTTGAGATTTATAAATGTTTTAAAAAAAAATTAACTTTTCTGAAAAATTTCAATTTTTTTATACTTTAAAATATATTGGAAATTTTGAACTTTTTTTCAAAGCAATTGCGATACGTTAGAAGCCTAGAAACGAAATATTGAAGCGCGTGGTCGCTGCGTCATAGTATAACGGATAACGAAGTATGTTTTTTGAATTATTCAAATCGGTCGATCCGTGTTCCCGAAATCGTCGACGAAAATTTGTATTCGCGCACACACACACACATACATCCAATTTTTCTAAGCTATGCCAAAATGTTCAGAAAATCTTAAAACGTAACTAGTGGGGCGCATGGCATCGTGCCTTAAGGCAAGTTGCTTGAACTTCCCGTACCAAAAATTTTTTTTTTTAAAGATTAACATTTTTTTAAAAAAAATACTCTGAAAAAGTTAGATTTTTGAGAAACTATAAATTTTTGACAAAAATTTACTTTTTTTTTGAAAAAAAAGTCTGAAGAAAAATTTATTTTGAAATATTTTGGATATTTTGAACTTTTTTTCAAAGCAATCGTACTGCTTTAACGGCATAAAGAAGAAATATCGAAGCGCGTAAGCGCCGCGTCGCCGTCTAACGGATAAACATTGGTACGGAACCCATAGGAATGTAAACAAAATTTATACTTATTGTTAAAATCTCTATAAATTATCTGATAATTTGATGTGCATATGTCTAATGATCATTTTTGACCGCCAAATCGCTTTTTTTTTACTTTTTTTGCTAGACCTGCCTTCGCCAAAAAACTAATCAGCACGTCTCCTCATCAATACGAATCGAATGTTTTTTGAATTATTCAAATTGCTATCCGTGTTCCCGAAATCGTCGACGAAAATTTGTATCCAAACACACACACACACACGCACACACACACACACATACATCCATTTTTTCTAAGGTATGCCAAAATATTCATAAACCTTGAAGCGTAAAGATATATAAACATTTTCATTTTCGATTTTTTTGCGATAATAATTATTATTATTACCTTAAGTTCTTTATTCTGTCTGTCGAGTAACAGCCTGGCATTTTCCAATTTATGTGCATTTGTCCTCTCGCTTGCCAATTCTGCACTCTGTTGCTCCAAAGCCAATTGGGCTTTCCTGGCTCGTTCACACATAGCCTCTGCACTCGACTGTTCTTCCTCCAACTCTTCTTCAAGAGCTGCAATACGAGCTTCCAACCTTCGCTTTTCATCTGCCATTAAAGAACCCTAAGAAGAAACAATATTAGTACTCAACATAAGAGCTATGTATGTATGTTTTTATTACCTTGTTTGCGCTGGCACTTGCTTCTTCAGCCAATTCGTCCCTCTCAGCCTCGGCAGCCCGTCGGGCTCTTTCTGCACTGGCCAAGTCTTCATTTGATTGTGCTAATTCGGCTTCGAGTGCTTTCAAACGCCTTTCGGAGTCTTTGCTCAAAGCTGCTAATTCCTCTCGGGCAGTCCTTGCTTCTTCGGCATCTCTTGCTGCATCTTTGCATTGGGCTTGGAGTTTTTTCAGTTGTTTTAGGGCATCTTCTTTAACCTGGTAAAAAATAGATGTAATAATTAATGACATATCAATTAACAATATAATTTATTATTCTAATTTCTATTCACATCTCGCATATGGAATACAATTCTGGGGATTCTCATCATCCTTAAAGGATATATTCAAAATACAGATAAGAGCATTAAGAATATTTTTTTCCCTCAGTTCCTTGTCCTTTTGTAGGAATCCTTTCCGACAATTTAACATTCTCACTGTTCCCTGTATATTTTTGCTAATTACGATGTCATTTATAAAGAATAATTCTAAAAGCTTCAACCTATCCTCTATGTTGAATTCCTATTATGAAACTAGCTGTAAGTAGAATTCTGTCTTGAGGCAATTATGGCATCGTGCCTTAAGGCAAATTGCTGGAACTTCCCGTACCGTAACGAAATGTTCGAGGAATACTGAATGTTTTCAAATAGATTATTATAAATATTGTAACATTGTCTAATATTTATAAGAATTATATAAACTGAATTGCAGAGTTGAAATTATTTGTAAAGTATATTAGAACTATAGTCAGAATTAAAAATAAAATCTGAAATATTTTCGATATATAAAAAATTAAAAAAAAAAAGAGAGAGAAACAATTTTTTTTCCAAAATCAATTATTTTGTTAAGACAAGCAAAAAGTTTTTTGAATCATTTAAATCGGACGCTTAGTTCTCTCAAAAACTGCCATTTTTTACATATTTAGCTCCGTATCTTCGAAATGGTTGGGCCTGCCTTTGCCAAAAACTAATAAACACTTCTCCCAATCATTACTAATTGAATGTTTTTTGGATCATTCAAATCGGATACTCCGTTCTCTCAAAAATTCGATTTCTATTTTCTGCACTCTTTGCTCCGTATCTCCGAAACGGCTGGACCTGCCTTTGCCAAAAACTAATCAGCTCTTTTCCCTATCAATAGGAATCGGATGTTTTTTGAACCATTCAAATCGGTTGATCCGTGCGCCCTAAAACGTGACTGGAAATTTGTATCCACACATACATACACACACACACACACACACACACATCCATTTTTTCTGAGGTATGCCAAAATGTTCAGAAACCTTCAAAACGTCGAGAAATGTAAAAATTTTCAATTCCGATTTTCGGCCCATTACAATAAATTACCCTACGGGAAGTTAAATATAAATAAATATAAATATTTAATATTATCACAGACAAGAAAAAAAAGCGTTTGTTATCTCTTACTTTGTTGTGCATTTCGAGAGTGGCTTCTTGGTCTTTGAGATCTCCCTCTAATTTCTTTTTGGCTGCAACAGCAGCAGCACGTTGTTTCCTCTCTTCGTCCAATTCAGCTTCAACATCTCTCAAAGCCTTGACCAGACCTCTGCGTTTCTCTTCAGACTGTTCTTCTTTCGCCTAAACAGAACATATAAAAAATTACGAAAACCATTTTACTACCTATTTTAATAAACCAGTAATTAACCTTTACCTGTAAGTCTCTTTCAAATTGAGTCTTCAACGCCTGCATGTTGACTTCCAATCGCAGTTTGGCATCTTCAGTCAACTGCAAATCGTCCTCGAGTTCCTCATTTTGGGCTCGAAGTTCAGCCAGTTGACTTTCCAGCGCACGTTTTGCTTTCTCGAGTTCATGAACATTTTTATCAGCTGTTCCTTGGGAATTGGCCAATTCATCTAATTCATTCTGAAGAGACCTTCGACCCCTTTCAAGCTCTTCAATCTTAAAATGATAAATAATTATTAATAAATGATAAGAAAATGTCGTATGTAATTTTTTTAATTACCTTTTCGCGTTCCTCATCCAACTCTCTTGTAAGCGACAGCACCCTTGTTTCCTTCTCACGTGCTTCTCGTTCTGCATTATCTCTTTCTTGTGCCAAATGTTCGCTTATAGCTTTTTCTTCAGCCAATACCTAAATGTATAAAACATATTATGATAAATAAATATAATAAATATTAATATAACTAGTAAGGTGGGTGGCATCGTGCCTTAAGGCAAATTGCTGGAACTTCCCGTACCGTAACGAAATGTTCGAGGATTACTGAATGTTTTCAAATAGATTATTATAAATATTGTAACATTGTCTAATATTTATAAATATTATATAAACTGAATTGCAGAGTTGAAATTATTTGTAAAGTATATTAGAACTATAGTCAGAATTAAAAATAAATATTTTCGATATACAAAAAACTAAAAAAAAAAAAAAAAAATGGGACAATTTTTTTTTTCCAAAATCGATTATTTTGTTAAGACAAGCAGAAAGTTCTTTGAATCATTTAAATCGGACGCTTAGTTCTCTCAAAAACTGCCATTTTTTACATATTTAGCTCCGTATCTTCAAAATGGCTGGGCCTGCCTTTGCCAAAAACTAATAAACACTTCTCCCAATCATTACTAATTGAATGTTTTTTAGATCATTCAAATCGGATACTCCGTTCTCTCAAAAATAGGATTTCTATTTTCTGCACTTTTTGCTCCGTATCTCCGAAACGGCTGGACCTGCATTTGCCAAAAACTAATCAGCTCTTTTCCCTATCAATAGGAATCGGATGTTTTTTGAACCATTCAAATCGGTTGATCCGTGCGCCCGAAAACGTGGACGAAAATTTGTATCCATACATACATACACACACACACACACACACACATCCGTTTTTTCCTAAGTATGCCAAAACGTTCAGAAACCTTCAAAACGTCAAGAAATGTAAAAATTTTCAATTCCGATTTTCGGCCCATTACAATAACTTACCCTACGGGAAGTTAATAAATATTATCAACAATATCTATTTTCAAAAGAATTAAGATTTGCAAACTTACCTTATCAAAGTTCTTTTGTTTCTTCTCCAATTCAATGACTTTAGCCCGTTGTGTCTCCAAATCAATGGTGGTGTCTTCAAGTTCAGCTTGCACCTTCTTTTTACCTAAAGAAATAGAATAGAAATAATAAAGGTAATAGAATTTATTGTATATCTAAGATGTACATACTTTTGTCTAGTTTATCATTGGCCGCTTGCAACTCCTCAATCTGCCTCTGCATCAATTCAATATCTTTATTCAGTTTCTTTTTACTTTCTTCCAAGCCTGCTGCAATTTCTGCCTCTTCATCTGCTCGTTTCTTGGCTTCGACCAACTGTTGTGTCAATGCTGCTACCTAAAATATAAAACAGATAAATAAATTGATAAGCAGTTGTAAACAATTATGATCATGTGTTGTGTTGTATTTATACGTACTTGTTTCTCGTAATTCTTCTTGATCTCTTCCTCCTCTTCCAATTGTTCGTGAAGAGCCTCCTTTTCCGATTCAAGTTGTCTCAATCGTGAACTCAATGCCAATTTTTGTCTCGTCTCGTCCTCCAATTGGGCCTGGCTTTCTGATAATTGACTTTCCATTGTACCTAAAATAAACAATAATGATCAAAAATTATAAGAAACTAGATGACCAGACAGACGTTGTCCCGTACCCACGTCGAAAATTCAAAAGTTTCAAATTTTTTAATATCCTATTCTGTACTATTTGATGCCATGCCTTTGTGATTCATTTATGGTTTTATTGTTAGCATAAGCAGTATAAGAAATGCAGAAAAAAATAATATAGTATCTGCGGCAAAATAAATATAATCACACTTACATTATTGTTTATGTTCAAATCTTTGTCAACAAAAATGTAAAAAAATTGCAATTTTGGACTTATTGCGTTATTTATTAAAGTGAATTATATAATTTCATCTGCCAAATATATACTGTTGACTATATATGTTATATTATTTTCAGCTGCTTTTTCGGCAATAATAATGTAGACATTACATTTTTCTTGTATATTATATTCTAATATTATCTAGGTAAATATAATGGAACGTGTTTTTTTGTAATTTTTGCCATTTATTTCGACAATATTACAGTAGAACTCCAATTATCCGAATTAATGGGGACCGGGACCCGGATAATCAAATATTCGGATAATCGGAGTTTGTTTTTAAAATTGCCATTGGAGAGAAAAAAAGTTACGTTTTGATATTGCACTATTTTTTTATGGAATTAAATGAAAGAAACATGACATTTTCATATGTTTTAAAAATAAATAAAATGTACTTATGTACAAGTTTAGAAATAAAAATCATTGTTTTGTAAACATCTCCGTCAAATCAAAACAAACAATGTGCCTACACTGGCTTTGCTGGTGGAAGAATAATAGCGCACTTAGTCTTTTTTTCGACAATTTTTTTTTCTGAAAGTGATTCGGATAATCGGCGATTCGGATAGTCAGAGTTCGGATAATTGGAGTTCTACTGTACTATAGTTTTATCGTTCATTTAATTTTCCTTGACAAACTCTAAAAAGAATTATCAAAATCCGTTTACGCCTACATTTCTAATTGTTAGATAACACGGAGCGCTTGAAATTTAATGTAAAGTTTATAGAATAGCAATAAAGCTCAAATTGATTCTACGTTTTAGTTGGAAAACGTTTGTATGTGAAAAACAAAGGGGCTGTTTTTAGGGTTTTTCCGGCAATTATTCGATTTTTTCTCGCCGTAAGAACCATCCTTGGACTTCAACGAACATTTTGAAAAAGAAAAGAAAAGAAAAAAGAAGTTGTTGAGTTATGCGCTTACCAACACATTTTGCGATCCATTTTTATATATAAGAAGATGTGATAGAGTTTTGGTGTCAATTTCTTACCTGCATTCTTGACTGCTGCGGAAGCCCTCAATTCAGCCTCCTCCAGCTGTTGGGCCGCATTATCAGCTTCCTGCTGCAATTTATGTGACTTATCTTGCAATTCCTGTTTGGCCCTCTCGACTTCGCCGAGTTTGGCCTGGAGTTCCAATAATTGGGACTCGGCCTGCTTCCGCCTCCTGTCGCTCTCTTGACGAGAGGCTCCGACGCTTCGGAGTTCGGTGGCCAAATCTGCATTCTCGGCCTCCAATTGGAGTTTGGATTTTTCAAGACCTGGGGAAAATAAAAGACCACAATGATATAAATTCGTGCAACGGGTAGATAATATGATCGTACGTACCAGTTTTGAACTTTTTGATGTTTTCTAATTGTTCGTTGACTGATTGCAATTCTTGAGAATGCTTGTGACGCATTTCTGCGACCACGGCTTCATGCCCAGAAGCTTCTTCTTCCAAAGACTTCTTCAAAGTTGCCAATTCTTGCTCACGCTTCGATCTCAACTCTTGTTGCGCTAGAATAAAAGCATTTATTGAGTCAAATTTATAAACATTGATGATGAATAAAAATTGTTATGAAGATTACCAGCTGTTGTATCCAAGGAATCCAACAGTTCATTTTTCAACGCCTCCAGTTCCTCATTTAGATCCCGTTTCAGCTTTTCAGCTTTCGACCTGGCAATTTTCTCGGCTTCTAAATCTTCTTGCAATTCTGCTAATTGAGATTCCAATTCCCTTTGTTGCTTTTGAGATTGAGCCTTCATTGCTGCCTCTTCGTCTATCCGCATCAGAGCTTGGGAAAGCTCTTCTTCACGTTTACCTAAGAAAAAAAATATATGATCACCCATGTCTTCAATCCCATATCTCAAGTATTGTTATTCCTTTACCTAGTTGAAATTGCAACTCTTCGAGTTGCGATTTTCGTTCGTTCAGCTGTTCTCGCAAGTCCGAAACTTCAGTTTCAATTTTGCGTTTGCTCCTATCTGTTTCTTGTCGCTGTTGATGATCCTTCAATAAACGTTCTTCAAGTTCCGCAATTGTTGCTTCGTGTTTAGCTTTCAATTTTGATAAATGTTTGGCTTTCTCTTCCTCCTCTGCCAAGGTTTGGGACAAATCGTTGCTTCTTTCTTCTAAAATCTACAGAAAAAATAGATTTATTAGAATTTGAATCATAAACTAAAATTTATTTTTGGACAGTTTACCTTTTTCTCTTTCAACAGCTTTTGATTTGTATCTTCTGATAAAGCAAGCTCTTCCTCATATTTTTTAATTTTTGCATCGAGTTGTACTTTTTCCAATTGGAGTTTTTGCCGAGCGCCTTCTTCCTCTTCGAGTTGTTCTTCCAAATCCTATAAAAATTGAATTAGATAATTACAAAATCCTGGTGTTTGGGTATTTGATTTGCAATACGTACTTGAATATTAAGTTGTAACTTTTTCTTATCGACCGTCAAAATATTAGCGCGTTCCTCTTCTTCTTCGCAACGGGCTTCCATGTCGTGCAAAATCTCTTCCAATTCCTGTTTTCTTGCGGCCAACCTGTAGATCACAATAAAGTTAGACCAAATAATTAAATCACATTTATTTATATATATTTTAGAATTGCATACCTGGCTCTCATTTCTTCAGCCTCCGCACACAATTCAATTTCAGCCTGGAGTTGTTCTGCCAAAGTTGTTTTCTCTTCGACAGCCTGCTGATACTTCTTCTCGATCTCCACACAACTTTTAACTTGCATATCAAGTTTATCACGAACCTAAAAACCCAGAAAAAAATTAATAGAAAATATTTTCCTAATATTGTTTCACCCGCTATGTCTATTTTTCTACCTGTTTCAATTCGTCTTCTTTTTGCGTCAATTTTTCTTCCTGTTTCGTGACTTCCAATAAAGGCTTGACCTTCGTGTAAAGTCTCCACCATTGCCAGTTTCGAAGTTTCAAATAAGCAGCACAATTTCTTTGAATAATTCTGATTGCGTTCAGTTGCTGCAAACGTTTTTGGTAATTTCGGCGAGCCAGATAACCTCTGCAGAAAGCCTAAGCAAAAAAAATTAAACATAATTGATTGATTTCACTTTGGTGGATTATTGATGTCGGAGTGGCTTACTTGGAAGTTGACGATGAGATCTGTAATTTTGTAATCGCGTTCTTCTTCTAAATGAGCCAATACTCCGGCTCTGAAGAAAATCTTGGACTGTCCAACTCTGTACAGATTGGGATCTAATTCTAAGGCTTGGATCATGTTCTCGCAAGCCTTCTTACCATCCATAAATCCTAAATAATAGTAAACATATTATTATATCATTATCATGGTAAATCGACTTAATCAATAAAAAATAAATTAATTTATGAGTGATGAAAAGTATTCCAAGTGAACACGTTAACTCGGAGTATTTTCTAAAAGCAAATGTTCAAAAATCAACAATTATTATATTTGAACCAGTTTCCGTAGGATTTTAATGGTTTAGTATGTTTATTAAGACCAGGTACTATAATGTTATACTAAGTATATCGTCTAATTTTAATTTTAGCTAACGTTAAAAAAACTACTCATTTTCTCAAAATTTGATGAATTTTTAAAATTAAACTACTTGTCGTAAGGCCGTAATATTACAGTAAGTTCTATAAGACCATGATATATATCGCTAAAAAATATCTATAAAAATCGGCTTAAATTTTGTTTTCAACAGTTAATTACAAGAAAACGGCTCGGTAGATTTTCACCTAAAACTAATCAGTATCATTCCCAACGAATATCTTTTGAACAGTTTTTGATTTTTTAAAATCGATTCGGTAGTTTGAACTTAAATATGGACGAAAAGTTTAACACTTTTTTCAAATTACAAGGAAACGGTTTGGCAGATTGTCTCACAAAATTGACAAACAATAGTCCTCATTGAGATACATCAAATGGCTTTTAAATTTCTGAAATCGGTTCAGGCGTTTTTAAGAAAACGTCGATCAAAGGTCTAATTTTGACAAATGCCAAAAAAACTATACTACTTTTTGCAAACTTTGAAGAATTATTAAAATTAAACGACTTGTCCTAGGGCCGTAATATTTTATTTTTTCCAACCAATATCTATCGAACAGTTTTTGAATTTTCAAAATCAATTCAGAATTGCGGGCTAAAACGTGGACGAAAAAATTTTCACTTTTCTGCGATTTACAAAGAAACGGCCAGTCGTACAAAACTCAGAAACGCTAGTCCTCATCGAGATACATCGAATGGCTTTTAAATTTTTGAAATCGATCCAGCCGTTTTTGAGAAAACATCGATTTACGGCATATAATCTGTTCACACACACACACACTTTTTCCCTTAAATTTGGTCTCATTCGATTCAGAATGGCTTGAAACGTCGAGAAAACAAAATTAGCGAGTCGGATTTTTTGATGAAAACATAAACTTCTCCTTCGGGAAGTTAAAAAATGAGTACTAACCTTTAGGAATGACATTCGGCGTAAGAAGTTCATAACGTTGTCTGAATTCTTGGAATGGTATCCTATTTGGAAAACCTTGACGACAGATTCTAATTCCTTCAAGTACACCATTGCACCTCAATTGATCAAGAACCTAAAAAATTAAAAGTACACAAGCTGCTCGGCAATATAATTAAATAAATAATTCATTTACCAATGGTGCATCAATTTTTCCCGCACGTTTCTCATGATTTGGAATAATGCAACGAACAAAGTTCGGATTCGTGTTCCTCAAAGTGTCCATCAATTTAGACAGCTGCTCCTTGTACAAATGCGAAACAGTTCTAAACATTCCTGCACAACAATAACAAAAAAATGATGATTAATAATATACAAGTATAAAAATTAATTACCTGTTCTACCTTTTCTCGTTCTGGCACCAAATTGCGTATCGCTCAAGGCTTGTTGGGCCATTCCTACAATTTCGGCGTCCTTCCATATGTGAACGACGAAAGGATCTTGTGAATTTTGCAACAAGGAGACAACATTTTCATTCAAAGGATCCATATTCTTCATCAACCACTTGCTGGCCGAATAATCGACCTTGCCAGCGTAATGCATCACCGCGAAATCGGACACACCTGGAGGAAAAGATATATATTAACATATTTTCATCACACGCATTATATTATTATTCTTACCCCTGAAATCAGATTTCATGAATTTGGGATGCAAATTGTGTGCTCCTGCTAATTTTTCTACAAAAGTTTTATCGGTAGCTTTTGGGAACCAGCACTCCTCATCCAACAAAGCCATGATACCACCAGGTTTATCAATCAAATCAATAGTCGGTTGCAAATCCAAACCAAAATCAATAAACTTCCACTCAATCCCTTCCCTCTGATATTCTTCTTGCTCCAATATGAACATAGTATGATTGAACAGCTGTTGCAGTTTCTCATTCGTATAATTGATGCAGAGTTGTTCGAAGGAGTTGAGTTCAAAGATTTCAAAACCAGCCATATCCAGGATACCGATGAAGGATGCTCCTTGTCGCTTGGTGCGATCTAAGGATCTGTTGATACGATTTACAAGCCATCTGAACATTCTTTCATAGCAAGCTTTGGAAATTGCTTCTACTGCAAATTCTACTTGCTCCTTGGTCTGAGCTTTCGTTACGAAGTCACGACCAACTTTTATCCTGGGCGTTAGGAAAGCCTTTGTCATCTCGGTTACAGAAAGCCCTGGGGTAAAGGATACATGATTAGAATATAATATATATATATATATATATATATATATATATAT